TTAACCGCATTGCCTTTAAATTTAACCACACACTACTCAGTAACCGCATTTACATTAAAATTTACCGCAAATTTTTTTGTGTGCAATGGCAAAATATGCGTTACGTTTATGATAAAAGCAAAAATTTAAAGGGAAACGAGTGACTCGCGCAACGATATCATCATGTTTTTGTGTTCGATGAACTAGATCTTGCGTTGCCACATAAGAAACGGCTTGAATTTAAATGGCAACGACAGTGGCTTTTAAAAACACATTTAAAGGGACAATATTTTGAATCATATCGTTCACCCTCTTTTCCACACTGTGCTCAGCACTCGTCTACAGTGCATTGCATAAATTAATAAATAGACAGCCAAGAGCGATGGTGTCGATTTGGGGAGATATAGATAGAGATTATGTTTGTTCTTTACTAATATCATACGATGAATGGCCAAACCATACAAAGTATTTGTGTATGATGCGATGCGCGCATGCATAAAGTAACACTCATACATTTATGAAGAAAAGCGGAAAACATTGTTTTAATTTTGAGTCGACGAACAAAACAAAAAGAGAAAAAAAAACAAATAAACTGAAAAACACGAGATGGATGCACGTTCAGTTGAAATAGACCAAAATATTACGAATTCGTGTACGTACATTTGGAATATACGTAGTCGAGAGAACACGAAATTAGTGAATGCTACGAGTGTGTAAACCATTTCTAAAAATATACACAAACACGTATAAGGTGAACTATTTAAAATCTGTAAACGTCGAACGATTATGAATAGATCTTGGGAACCAGAAAAAAATTCAGTCGAATCGAGCTCATAAGGACTATTATAATTGAGTTAGAAACTTTTGCTTTGAAATTTAAGAATCACATGCATTCATCCAGTTCTATAGATGTTACTAAAAATATTATTTTTCCATCGTTGGGAAACTGTTCGTCTTTTTTCTCTTACTTTGTGACTTGTACACATTTAAATGATCAAATCAATGATTGTAAACAACAAAATGGACTGTGGCGAGAGAAAAAACAATGCAATTGTAAATATGATTTGATTAAATTATCATGTGCCACAATAGACGTGGAATACAAAGTTAATTTTGTAATGAGCGTAATTTATCAATGAAAATCGGTGTCGCGTGTACACACCGATTTGTTTATGGAATGAAACAATGACACATGACGGCGGTAAAATATGCCGACAACAACAACGACGACACCGATTTTGCGGTGTGTGAGCACACAGCGTAAATATTGAAAATGCGCCGATATTATGAGCATGAAAACAAAAACAAAACGCCAGACAGACAGCGTGTATGTGATAATTTCTTGAATTTCATTTTGGCGCATCACATAATTTCGCGTTTGCCCACCAATTCACATGAACGAAAAAAAGAAGAAAAAAAACTATAGAAGGCGACCATCGAATGCCTGCCATACAATGTATGACTTGGAAGTCGTCGAGTTGTACGCATTCAGCGCTCATAAGCATTGGAGCAATTGTTAAATACAACAACCCGTTAGCCGCTCGAATGTTGTTCAAGACATACACAATTGAATAATACAATACCGTTTGTATTGTACGAAGAACGAAAAAAAATCAAATCGGAGCCATACAGTCACAAAGTGTAAAATAAATTCGGTGATATTTAGAATTTTAATTCATGCGATTGGAATAAAACAATTTCGTAAGGAAGAACGAAAAAAAAAATGGCAGAAAATCTGTATGTGTGAAATACTATTGTGTGTTCGACATCGATTGGTGTGGAAAAAATTCACTGTACTTTTTTTTTGTCGTCTCTTTCAGCATGAGAATATGAGCGAACATTATCGCAACCAAAAACCAATGAAATATCATAAATTTTACCGCAGATAAACAACACAAAAATATAAATATTTCAAATGTTTGATTTTTGTGTTGCTGAGCAAGCCCAGTTTAGTGGCAAATATACGTTTGCGTACGCACCTGCGTGCACTTTTTCTGTCTGTGACGACGAAAAATTCTTACCATTTAATTGCACTGTTGCGATCGTCTACTGTCACACACAAAACGACGTTTTTTACAAAATAAACAACACTTTATTCAATCGCACACACCATTGTTCGGTCGTTGCGATAATTTTTTCATAAAAATTCACTGAAAATTTTACACGACACAACGAAATTTTTCACAGGCGATACGTTTATGGATGATGGCTATTTTGTTGTTGAAACCTCCATATTTTTTTTTCGCTCTCTCTCAATAGTGTGCGGGGCCTCTCTATATGTATATCAGTTTGCTTGGCGGTGCTCCGATGTCATTATCGATCCGCATCAGATTCATGTAACACTGTACTCAATTCGGTATTGTATAAATGTATATATCATAGCGCCTCGACGGCAGCCATTTTTACTTTCACATATTTCACATCGTGTTCGTCATCACAATGGGATTTGGGCACGTGAAATATCGAAAATTGTACACACGAAATCACGACCATTCGTTATATGACTGAATTATTTTGGAATAAAACAAACAAATAGACTATGCATTGTTGTTGTTTTTTTGCTAAAATTTCGATTTTCAATTGATTTTAACGTTTTTTTCAATATTGAAAATAATAATAATAAAAAAAAATTCAATAATTTTTTTTTTTTTTCAAATGAAACTTAAAAATATGCAACGAAAATGCAAAAATTAAATTTTCCGTATAAATTGGTTTCATAGATAATTCCGAAATTGGTTTCACTTTTTCAGTGACCCGATCTATTTTCGACCATTTACAGTATATAGCATTCTTTTGTTATATTCCTTGTTCTCCCTCTGACACTCTCCTATATTCACGTACATTCTCTTCCATTGTCAAAATCAGATTGACGTTAGAAAGAGTGCGTCTAATTCCACCATTCGAACAGTTCCTTTTATCTCATTATATTCAATGTGAAAAAATCTTATTTGATTTATACCAATTGGATTTTTAATTTTTATTCTCATTTTCTCTTTTTCAAATAATAATTAATTAAATCAAAAGAAATTTCGTTGAACTGAAATTGCATTCGTTGTACCGGAATTTCAAAAAAAAATTCACACATCACATTGACATGCGCATTTTTCAATTGAATTTTGTTTACATTTTAATATAAACATAACGAATGAGTTTGTTGTTGTTTGGGAATCATTTGTTTAGTATATTTATTACAATATTTGATGCGATTGCGCACTTACGGTGCCGTTTTAAATATTCACACGACCAGCATTTGTTTACATTCGATTCGTTTGAATCATATAACGGAAATTTGATTAGATGATAAATTATCAATGTGAAACGAATGACATGGACACTATTTACACCTAAACATGATTTTATTAATCAAATTAAATTATTATTTTAGAGATTTTTTCCTTTTCCAACAACAAAACATCACAAAATATGAGATAGAAAGTGAGAAAAATGCACTGTTATTACGAAAAAACTCTCATTCAGCACATTTTTTGAATTGCCAATTTAATTTACAAATACATGTTTACGAATTTGAAACAAAAACTTTTTATTTTCAATTCGAGGCCTGATAAATATCGTGTATTATTATAGATCGATGCACACGATGTTGTTGACAAAATTTACGACTTTTTTTATTTGATCGTGCATTTTGGTGCAAATCATGCAACAGCAACAAGACCATCGAAAAGAGCGACTATCTAGGCTAACAGCTTTAGTTCCGAAAACATAAACTACATTCTACGGCCAAATCGTGAGTTCGGGTGCTCTTGATAAAATAAAACAATAAAACTTATTTTAATATTTGCGATATCGTCGATAGTTATAATTTAAATTATAGATAAAACAGATAGATAAATTTAAAAAAAAATTACACGTTTCATTCAGTCCGCTGGCAAAATTGTAAACAAAGGGACCTCTCCGTTGATTTAAAAATGTCCAAGATTTCTATTGGCATTCTTTCATTATATTTATTTCTATTATTATTTGTGAAGTCAGTTCGATGTGAAAAAAGAAGAAGTTTTTTCTTTGACTTCGAACAAATGAAATATGATCTTTTCTTTGAAAGTTATTCAAAAATTTCATCAAATAATACAGAACCACACAATAATAATAATAAATGTTTAACTGAATTGGAGGCGATTCAAGATGGTTTAATAGCTCAGGAAGAATGGGCATTGCGAAGTAATATTTAAACTTCGAATTTAAATTGAGTTCCACAATAATTCAATCTATATTTTGTCATTAGTCTTGGATTCATGGGGCAAAATACCGTCCGGAGTGTTTAGTGGTAATACACATGATTATGGAATGTTCTCACAGTGTATGAAAATCAAACAAGATAGGGAAGTATATGAAACACAATACTGTTTGGGTCAATTATTTTATGATCTCGATGAGAAAATTGCGTCAAAACTATATCGACGGTATGATAGTTCTAAGCTTGTCCTTCCGGATATGGTCCATATACAAAATTTTCCAAGGTAAAAAGAATGACTATGAATCGTTCTTTGACATGCTTGTATGAGAAAAAGTGATAAATTTAAACATTTTTATATATTAAGACGTGATCCGGGGAGGACTCTTACAACAATAGGCATGTGTTTTCCTGCTTCATGTTCAATACAAATTTTTGAACAGATCATCAACGATTTGATTCCAGAACATTCAAACAATTTTTCTATTCAAATACCCAAAGAGCTGTGTCAGAGAAATAAAGATCCTGAAGTGACAACTAAAGACAAAATTATAATGTAAATTTCGAATTTTTTTTACTCAACTTATTTTAAAAAAAATTTCTTAATGTTTTTAAAACGTTTTTTTTTTTTTGCATTCACAGTGGTGTATTCATTATATTATTTGGTTTGGTTTTTATAAGTACTGGTTATGATGTTCTATGCACCGTATTTAATCGTATGTATTTTCAGTTAACATTTTTATGACATTTACATATACTGGATTCCGATTTTGATCGTATGCAGACCGAAAAAAAACGTGTGCATTTATTTAAAAAATTTGCGCCAAAATTATTCGAATTTGCTAGGATTTTTCTGTCAAAAAAGTAAAGACCTTTTTTTGTTCATTGATTTTTTTCGCGTAGAAATTTTTTTCGATTTGCTAGGATGTTCGCCAAAAAAGTAAAGAGCAAAAGAAACCACTCCCTGTAAAATTTAGTTCGCACATTGCTGTTTTGTAGGTAATAAATCTGGTATCCTGTTGGCCTTTTCTTTTTACACAAATGGCAAAAAGCTGTTCTCTTTGACTGAAATAAACACAGCAGACGAAATAAAATGTTTGCACGGAATTCGCGTCCTCGCAGGACAGGTAACAGTTTAAAAATCTTGAGATCCAAATTGTTTTAATCAACAAATCTATTTCTAGTGGACTGTACTCGGTCATACATTTTTAATATTGTTAATTGGTCCAATTAACAACAGAATTGTACATGCCACAGTAGGTTTTTTTCTGTTCTGTTTTTGACTTTTTGTTCTGTTCGGTTTTTATCAGCCAATTTAAAATTTAAATCATTTTTTTATGTAGTTTTTTTCAGCATACAGGAGTATGGTAATTATTTCGGGACCTGTGGCGGTGGATACGTTCTTTGTGTTAAGTGGACTTTTAGTTTCAAGAAGTATACTAAAACGCTTGGAAAAGTGAGTATCAAATAAAAATAGTTAAATGAATTTGCCTTAAAACCATCCATAATCCAAAGAAATGGACGACTGAACGTTCTGCAGTTATATTTTCATCGGTATATGCGTCTAACACCACTTGTGGCAGTACTCATTTTGACTACGATGTTATTGCACCTCATCGGTGGAGCTAATCCGAAATATTCGAACACCAAAAACATCCTGAAAGCTAAATGTGACAAATACTGGTGGATGACTCTTTTATATTTCCAAAACTATTCGGATGGGGATTATATTGTGAGTATTTTGAACCATGCATCAAAAACTATAACCAGTACCTTTTTTTTCTTATTTAGTGCCTTGCACCAACTTGGTCCTCCTCTGTTGACATGCAATTGTTTTTAATTTCGCCAGCGATTATTTATTTGTTTCGTCGATTCAAAGTGAAGGCATTAATTCCGTTCATTCTACTTCTATTGGGCTGCATCTATTTCACCTTGAGCGTTCACGTTAAATATAATTTGACGACTTTGTTTGCGTAAATATTCGATTTTTTTCACACAAATTCAAAATTTAACTGACATTTTCTTCGAATACTATAGTTTTCAGACGAACAAATTTGAATTGGCGTATGTTCCAACGCATATACGATTTTCGTCGTGGTTAATTGGTGTCATTGTTGGATATTTTCATTTTGTAACTCGCGGCAGAAAAATTCGAATTCCAACGGTAGTGATTTTCATTATAAAAATTATTTTTGGCAATCAAATTCGAGATGTTGCTTTTTTTTTCTTTTTCAGATGCTGAACGCCTGTTTTTGGACTTTGTCTTTGACCACGATGATAGTAACAATTTTTATAAATTATCCATTGCAACAATTAGATGAAAATAATAGAATTTCTCCATTTGTTTATGGTTTATATGATGCCTTGAGTCGCATAGCTTGGTCAATTACTCTGTGCTACATCATTTTTGCTTGTGATAATGGCTATGGCGGCGTCATCAATCGCTTCTTATCGCATCCATTTTGGCTACCTCTTTCAAGAATTTCCTACGCAATTTATATGCTACATAATTATGTAATTGGAATTGTAATAAATACACCAACATCTCAATATTTCAGTGAAACTGAGGCCGTAAGATAAGTATTGATGTCAAAATATGATTCGTGTTTCAATTTTTTTTTATCTTTACAGTATAAAATGTTCATTGTGGTTTATGTGGTGACGATTTTTGTATCAATCATAGGAACATTAGCTTTTGAAACACCGATAAATGTCATTGAGAAGGAACTGTGTAACTATTTGAAGCAAAAAGAAATCGCTCCATCGAATGCAAACGAAATTCAACAAACGGATGATAGCAAAAAATATCAATGATGATTTTGTTTAACAATCGCTTCCAAAATAAATAAATAAAAATCAGACACAATTGAAATGTTTCAGTCTTTTTTGTATTTCTACTTCAAATTCGTCGATAAGCAACGACAATTCAAAACTCAGCACCACAATGACATGTATCTTTAGAAGAGCAGAGGAAATTATTGAAAAGCAACAACAAAAAAAACGGAAAAAATCTAATGGAAAATAAGGCTGAATTATTAGACTGTATGGTTCAATTGAAAAGAAGACATCGTTCATTGAAATATTTATTAGCCAGATAGATGTTTGTAATATGTGTGAGTGAACCAAACACAACATCTACAAAAGTGCATACCTAATACCGTTTATTTATTGTTGTTATTTTCTTGTCAATAATTCCAAGTCATTCCGATGTGTGTTAGCATCGATTTTTTTACGTGCAGCCCAAAAAAACGAAAAAAATCTTCAAATAATCAAAAGAAAAACGACCGATTTAATATGAAAGTCAAGCTTTCAATGTTTTACTTGTAACATTCGAGAGCATTGTCAATGAAAAAAACATGCAAATCAATTTCAAAAAAAATAATGCAAATATAAAAGTAAAAAACAAACGAAAACACTACTTAAGTTGTCATAGATTTGAGATGCTGATAAAAAGACATTCGTTGTCGTTATAAAATCATTGCAACCGATACTATGATGAATCAGTGATTCGTTGTTGTATGTTATTGAACCTTGTGAATTTCACGCTCTGGACAGTAACGTCGGGTGTGTGCATTATCGCCAGTAGACGTGGACAACTTGTCCGATTTTGTTCATCTACATTACGGTGTGATTGCCAAATGTACTCCCGTTCTCCATTATTCTTACAAAATGCACAAAACTGTGCGTTGTACATATAAGATGTGTTGAAAAATAAAAGAATACTCACGTTGTTCAATTTCATTTTTGGGCATCGCTTTTTGGTAGCATGGCCATTTTGATGGCGTCGCGGCGGCAGTGGTGCGTCATCTTTCCAGCATAAAAACAAGATAAAAATGTCAATAAAGAAATCATACACACAAAATCATTCTTTAATTACCATTTTCCAAACGCAAATTGTTTTTTGCGCGTTCATGAGATGCCGATTGATCGTACTGATTGAGTGCATCATGTCTGGGTTGCCAATCGAAATTATTTGACTTTGTTTTTTTCAATGAAACGGAAAAAAATCGACAAATCAATTGACATACGAATATTTTGAGAGCCATACATCATTGGTTGACAATTGACATTGCATGTACCGTTCAAACATGTGCTTCTTCTTCAAAACAATACATACACAAGCATCACATGTACAGCAGAACTCAATAAGTATTCATCACAGAAACAAAGCTGAGTAGCGCGCGCATGTATTTGTGTTTGCACTGCTGTTATGGCGTATACTTTTGATGTTTGTGAGTAAGTGTGTATGTCTTGTTTTAAAGAAGAAGCACATGTTTGAGTCTCACTCGTTTAGATGTAAATTACATAGGCATTTCCAGGCCATGGTACCGTTGTTGGTTGGCACTGAGTTCACCGTGCTGGCGTATTGGCACCGATCCTGATGGCGACAAGTTCCATGTCCAACGACGATTTTCCATACCTATCACGATGTGACATGCAATTAAAATGTATGGATGTATAGCTAAAACGCATTACCTGGCCAAATCGAATCCATCGACTCAAATGAATGTGGTGATTGTTTAACCGAATTGGGTGTGATATGGCCATTGCTTTTGTAACCGGAAGAGCTCGACTGTGAATGATAGAAGATTAAAACCAAAATTCTTTCACTTGAAAAGTCATTAAATCACTTACATCATTTGATGACGATTCTGATGTCGATTTTTTGTGATCAACATTTGTCGGTATTCCATTCCATGGCATACAAAAGTTCGCTAAACATATAATGAGAAATGTGTATCTAACGATTTTTTAAAAAGAATCCCCAAAAAAGAAAATCCATTCACCGATTCCATTTAAAATATTGATTACCGTTTAGCAAATTCCAGCCATTCGATAGAAATGAATCCGTTGTTTGTTCGCCTGAATTGATTTCGACGCCATTGTTGCTAAAATCACTTACATCATTCGATGACAATGCTGATGCTGTATTTGTGTGATTCATATTGAAGCGTCCATTGTGCTGCTGTATTGGCATGTCAAGATCTGGCGTTATTCCATTCAATGGCAAGTTCACTAAATAAATCATGAGAAATGTGTAGGACCTACCTAATGATTTTTTGTTTAAAAGAAACCCTCAACAAATAAAACCCATTCACCGATTGATTTAAAATATTGATGAAAAAAATACCATTTGGCAGAGTATCACATCTAAATGGAGCCGCTTTTGGTCCACCAAAATATCCAAATTTTATTTTCATATTTTCTATCTGTCGATCGATATACTCTTTCAAATCCATGATTTACGAACTGATTTTGACGCGTACAAATAACAAATAACAAAACTGTCAACAGAAATTAAAACAACAATTAAAAAATTCACAGAAATCAAATTGACAAAACAGATAATTTTCTTCTGTAAAAAATAAATTCACGAAATATTTGATCTGATTTTATTAACGCTCTTCTCGTTCTTATGATGCTGTTTATTTTTTTCGTTAATATTTACAGTAAGTCCAAACAATTTCTAAGAAAGACAAAAAAATGCCGTTGATGCGATAATTATGTTTTCAAATTGGCTGACGCTCTGGTTGTGACTGCTTAGACGCAAAAAACCACAAGTGTATGATACAGAACCGAAAAAATCGCACACACAAACTGATTGAAACTAAAGGAGCGCGTCTCCATATCTCTTTCTCTTTTCATTTCTCTATTATCTCTATCTCCACTTGTGTGCATCGGAGTTTGTGTGTTTAGCCGCTTTTGTTGAAGTTGTTCGCTCAACGGGTCAGTGTTTGTGTTTTAAAATAATATGCAAAATAACAAAAAAAAAACTGTTCCGATCGAATTGAAATAAAATGCAGATAAATTGAATCCAGAAATTGACCATATTTCACATGATAAATTATCAAATTTTTTTTTTTATGTGTACAACTTTGAATTTCATTGATTGTTATTGCAACGGCCTTTTTTGAAAAAAAAAAAGTTGAAATCACCGATTCAAACTACTGCGCCATTTCTGACAGTTCTGTCTCTGTGTATGAATTTTTGTGCATATTCGAACACCAATCATTTGAATTCGCAATAATTCTGAGAAATGATCTAGAAACTGAGACGGTGTTATGACTATCGCAATGATTTTTTGCCATAATTTTTTTTTCACCTGGAGTTAACTCAAATAACAAGATTTAGTATGTGTCGTGATGTTACCGATGACAAATGCAATGTAATGCGATCGGTTCGAAAACGATTTGCGGTGAAATGTTTGCAATGCCAAACAGTTTTTTTGCTATTGAACTCATAGTGAAAGTTCATTGGACACTGGCTCGCTGGTACACACAACACTTTTAATACTGCCAATCTTAATATTGTACCAAATATACGTTAGAATAGCATCATTATTCTTTAATTTTAGTTTAAAGTGTATATTAGCACTGCTCCATTGCTTTGCAGCCAATAAATGTAAGACAGTATGAACGCAAAATCTATTGACTATGTAAAGTGTTTTGGCGGCTCTGCTTTGATAAAACAATTTGTTGATAAAATATCATGCGCCATGACATAATGAATATAAAATCAGTTTCATTTGAAACGCTCTATTAGACGATTATCTTGTAGATATTGTCCATAAATATATATATGTCATGTGAATTCATTTGTAATCAGCTGATCCAGTAAGTGATATCCCTCCGAATGCTGTAATAATCAATCTGTATGTGTGTCTATGTCGGTCATGCTTATTAATATCAATTCAAGCAACAGATTATTAGAACGTATAATTTTCGCTTGTGCCATTTGGTTCGCTTGAATCGAAAATAATTGAAAATATTGCTGATTTCTTTTTAAATGACTATCCCTAATATGAATATTTAAAATTTTTCATTTTTTGTTTAACTAATTTGGTTAAAATTCAAGAAGAGCAACACGCATTTTGCTGCAAAAAAAAATAATCCGTTATAGTTAGAGTACATAATTCATCATCATATGTTGTACATAAGCATTTGTCTGTTGTATATAGTTTCATGTCAACGTAGCATGGAATTTGAGTGTGTTCGGTGTGAGGAGTCTCTGACGTAGATGAAAAAAGGGGGCAATGCGCTTGCACACAAAACCATCATCGTCATCATCATCACAAGCACGCTAAGCACTGTGTGTATTCATTTCGGTGGCAAAGCTTTTGGTGTGCATGACAAAAGAGGGATAAAAAAAAGCGAAATGAGAACGCGTTGTTCGTAACATCGACGGAAGCCACAAAAGCGCGTTCGATTCAGTTTCAGATGAATGTTTCACATGGAATGTCGTACAAAGAATTAAAGTGTGATCTAATTTGATTCGAAGCACATTGAATGTGTCATCGAAGCAAAATAGTGACAAACCACACATAATCGAAATAGTCGACAGCAAACAACAAAAAAGAACAAAAAAGAACAAAAGAAAATATTTAATCCAATTAATGTGTAAATAAAATATACAAAGTAATTCTCTCTCGGTATATGGAATAAATAATTTAGTAGAAAATTGGACAGTTTTTTCTCTTCTTCTTCTTATTCATCTTTTCAAAACGTGATTATTTGCTTTGGAATTTTGTGGAAATCTAATGAATTTTGGACGAAATAAATTCGTAAACAAATGAGTGTGAACAAAAATGACTGATTGAAAAATTCATATAGTGAATCGATAAAGTGTGGCCACTTTGTATGCTCATACGGTTGAATGTGATGAAATACACATTATTAAAATAATCGACATAAATTGAGTAGATACGTCGAAAGTTTTACTCGCTCATCACCGCTGTCCACCGCTGTGAAACAGCACGGCAAAGTGTTAAAAAAATATTTCAAATTGAAATTTGCCGATTATGTCAGTTTGTCATAATCGAATCCAATAAATGCCTCCTTTAAACATTTATTACCACACTTAATTGAACTGGAAAGAAAACTACAAATCATTTGATAATTTTTTGTAATTGAATTTTGCTGTCTGTGAATGGTTCCAACATTAAATTTAATTTTGCTGAGTGTGCATCATGTGTGTCAGCGAGTGCAAGTGATAAGAAGAAATTTTGTGTGTGTGTACATTACAGCTGTGTGTATGGCTTTACAACTAGACACATAGTGTGTAAAACCTGTGTACGACGTTGATAACATTTTTGCTTTCATTTACTCTTTATCTTCCTTTCTCTTTCTTTCTTTATCTCGTATCCAATTGCCTCCCGCCCCCTTCCCCGCGATAAAATCAAAGCTCTCACAGACATCCAGGAATCCGTACAAGTGAAACCGTGTGTATAAGGAGCTGTGCGGGATAGGACACAAACAAGAAATGGTGCCAAGGTATTACATTCAACTTGTATCACATATACTTTGCGTACAGCGTAGCGTGCAGCTATAGAAACTGTCTATGATAGATATATGTATATTTTATTCAATATATTCATATCCACTAGTGTGTATCATGTCATTTGCGAGCCGCCTTAAGCATCGTCTGCGTATATATGTGTGTGTTATGGATTGGGATTTATGTGAAATCGTTAAACTTTATTCATATTTGGGAATAAATGCATACAATCACTTTTTCTTTCTTTCTCTCTGTGTGCGTGTTTTACGTCTGATGACCATCGTTATAAATCGTATTGTCACACAGCAGGTCCAAAGAATATTTAACGAATAATATACTTTATAAAAGAGAGAAAATGGCTCATTTATAATAGAGGAAATGAGATTCAACTTTTATGCAAATGAAACAAGATTAAACTTTAACCGAAAAAAAAAACGACACCAACAAATTTGGTTCGTTCCTACATCTTATGGAAATTAACTTCGACATTTTGAGAAAATTGAATTTTCTTTCCTCACATCGATAAGAAGTTTCAAAAATAATGAGTTGCAGCTTACTACACAATATAATAAATAAAAAAAAAAAAACAACGACTACACGAAACATGGAACGACTCGATGCTTCCTATTTGTGCATTCATTGGACGCTAGACAAAAAAAAAACAAACATATTTATATTTCAAATGGTGTTTGTCATCATCATATATGTGGGTCATAGGCAAAGTAATAAAATGCGGAACTAAAACCCCCCGTATATTACATGTTCATTCATTTGTTTGGAACATTGCATTGAATCATCGAAACTAAGTCACGGCATGCATACAATTTTGCACAAAGCATTTGACATTTTCTATTATTCAGTGTGTGCGGTGAGATTACAAGACGTTTTACACGAGTTCTTCGAATTGAGGCATCATCGTTGCAGCAGAGGCACCAGAACAAATACACAAACAAACGCCTCAAATACAGTTAACCCAATGGCCAATAAATATCAATGGAATGTAGATCAAGAAACTTGAATGGAATCCAATTTCCCCCCTGAAAAAAAGAGAATAAGCGAACTATTTTTTTGCCTTTATTCTTGAAGTTCTCCATAAAATTTACCTCTGAACACGTTTTCCAACAACAGCACACTCGTTCGTGCAAAAGAAAGAGAAAATTGATTAGGCTCCGTGCCAACATATGGCACACAATTCATATTGTGTTCGTTCGAATGCGTTTGTATGCAAGTGCAGAATTTATGACAATTTTCCTGAATACACGTTTTCTCATGTCCGTCGACATTCCTTCGAACTCGCTGGCAAATTGAATGCAATATCAGATGCACCTTCGTGCATCACACCAAATACGTTTTTATGCCATTTTTTTACTACAATTCTTCTTCTACATTTTGGTTACGTGTTTATTATCATAATCATTAGTTAAAATGCGGCTTTCAAGAGCCAAAATACAAGAAGAAAGAGTCGATCCGATGGGATAATCGCTTGCTAGCGTTATTTTTACGACGCACGCAAGGCAATATTACTCGCCTTTGATCACGCAACTTATTCATTTCAGTTTCTTGGCATGAAAAATTGAATTAAAAACCGCACTTTTTACCGTTCACGATGAGTACATATTTTATTTAAAACAAAAGCGCACAACCATCGAACAAAAACCAACTCACAATTCAGCGGTTTTTTTTTTTTGTTACTCACAATGTGTGTGTATGCGTTGAACAATGTATGGAGTGCTTAATTAGCAGCATAATTAAAATCTCATATGGGTCAAACACACCATCCAAGCAGCAAAAATTACAAAAGCGACCATTTGCTCCCCATTTTCAATTATATATGTTATGTGCTTAAGAGTGTACAGGATAAAACAGAATATGTCATATGAAAAACATTTTCCAAATTTTCTTAATTTTTTTTTCGTTTTTTTAAATCAATTTTATTTTCATATAAATGCTGAATTTGCACGCTCAATGACTGCAATAAACACAACATTTATGGACTATGAATATAAACCAGGTGGTTAGTGTCGTTTTTGAATGCATTCATTGTTGTTTAATTTTTGATTTTCGTATTCGGACTTTTTCAATTCATTTGCAAATCTAAAACACACATATGCCACTTGACATGAGTGTGTTCATTTCCTCGCACACACACATGTACGAATCTAATGTCTAATTCGCATTTTATAGTTTGTTGATTATAAATATAATCAAATATGCAAATGAATGTTGAATACGATTAAAAAAAGAAATCCAAAAACGACTGCATTTTTACGACATTATAAAATGAAAGAGTTTTTAATAAAATTGCCATTTTAAAAAGTAACAACATCAGCCAGTCCCATTTCCTATTATTCTAAAATGCAATTTTGTGATTTCATTTTCAGGTCACACAATTTATAAAACAGCCAACACCGCAATGAGAGTTGATTTTCAAACGAATAGCTCACCATATCTTGGAATTGTAAGTAGCTATCGTTTTTTTGTTCCTATTCGTTTTCCACGCGCGTCACGTATGTCATTTTCAATTGAATACACACTCAACATTTCATATCGAATAAAAGTGTAATGTAAAAGAAACACTTTATAGGTGGGAAAAAAAGCACTTACAACACTTTGACTGTAATTTTTGTCAGAGTTCATCTTGTATATAATAATGTCACTTAAACCGTATCAAACTTCCTTTTTTTCTATTTCTATATTTTTCTTTATGTACTGATTCTTCATTGAAAATCGTCAAGTCCGCAACTTGGTGTGCACTTGTCGCATTCATATTTGGAGCTGTCACCGTAATTTCATGTTGGATACGGAAATGCAGGTATTTCAACACATTTGCATACATTCTGTGATTCGATTTATTCGTGTCTTGTCCGGGGATTTAAAAATATATATCACATCGAACTAACATATGTACACATAGTTTAAGTGCAAGTCACGGCACTTTGGGGGTGAAAAAAAGGGAGGAGCGTCACCAAAAAACGATGAAATCAATTGCATACTTTTTTTCAGTCAAGTTTTTTCGGTTCCTTTTTTTTTTTGCCACAATCTCTTTTGTTATTTCGTTTTCCCCAATTGCAACCGCACAGTAAAAGTTATACACTTTCAGGCTATGATTTTTTTTAGAATTCTGCGTTTTTTTCTCGACATAATCGTCTTTTATTGAATCAGAACAGAAGGTACATCGTTGAAATGGCTAATATTTGCTCAAAGAGAGGAAAAAAGAGAAAAATTGGTGGAAAAGGCAAAGCACATCCGACGAAGTCAATTTCAATCAATCTGATAAAAAGAATCGTGTTCAATCAATGTGAAAAGTAGAAAAACCGAAAATTTTCAAGTATGGATTGATTACATAATTCGTCTTTAGCGTGAGCTGTTCATAATTGTTTTTGATTTGAATCTAGTCCGGAACTCAATAATTGATTTACTCGTCGCTCGTCGGTGCTTTTCTGGTCGAATAATTTAGTAGAGTTGTTTTTTTTCTTCTTTGATTTATTTTCTGCTATATAAATATTCCTGATCATATCGTTGCTAAACGCTATTTAACCCTGGAAACATGCCAAAAGTAAATAAACAAATTTTGCACGGATGTGTATTTTGACTTCGTACAAAACCAATCTCAGCGCAACTTTTTATTCGACATACGTCGTTCGTAAAATGAATTCCATTGTACGGTATAAATAAATCGACAATCAGTTGGAAATAAAAAAAAGAGAGAGAAAAAACACGATAAATGCGTCATTTGCCTCGATTTTTGTGAAAATATGATAGTTGGCGTATTGTTTCAAAGGCACATTTCAGCAATTAACGATTTTCCATATTCAAATCTATGCTGCTGGTTATTGCTACTTCGACTAAAGTATTCACATTGTTGACAAATAAATCCTTTGATGGTGAAGCGCGGTTGAAAGGAAGAAAATAGTGAAACGACTCAAACATGATTTTACATGACGTCAAATGCCAGACATGCAGCGCACTTGCAATATACCAATTTATTTTTGACGATATAACTTTTGAGAGAGCGGGAGAGAGAGAAAAAAAGGGGTATGGCATGTATATTGCTTTATAAAAATGAACTTTGAACTCAAACACAACATATCATTGTTTAGAACACACATTTTTTTCACAATTGTTGTGAATCATTTGAAAATCGCACGTACACGAAACAAATTCGAAAATTCCTGTACTTTATGAGTTCAGATAAGGAGCTCCATGGCAGCGAGCCCATCGGTTAAGTGCATAGTTTTACTCTCATATTTATTCACTGTTGTAAGTAATCCTTGCGAATTTCTATTTGAAATTTTGTTTGAGAACTCAACTCATTACCATTTATTGTGAAACAAAAACTATTCGACGTAAAGACTTCATCATTGTTGTGTTTATTGTCATTTAAGCCACTACTTCTTCTTTGCTTTTGTTTGTAAAATCAATTGATGACAAGCAAGACATGCACCAAATGACCGAATTTTATGGCGTAAATTCGATGGTTCAAATGGGTTAAATGACAGGCAAATTAGAGTGCACACACCCATTTCGATAAATGATGAAAAAGCGTGTTTGTGTATCCGATTTTTTGTTGACTCATCATGACAACGTTGTGATCAGCAGAGATGATATGGTATGGAAAGTGAGTCGCTCTCTCACTGAAGAGAGAAAAAGAGATGAAAATAAAAAGGATGGAAAATGTATCAGACTTAAAAACATAATCTTAATTTATTGCCAAACTCAAGTGGGCATATTTTATAAACTCAATCCCTTAAATACTCGATGACACTGCTGACTTGCACTCGAAGAAAAATGACGCACACATTTCACAACATTCGGTATTTTAAATTATATTTCATAAAAATTGCGCCAGATTTCATGGCGGTTGCACAAAGTCCCGGTTCAGATGTGCAATTCTCCTCGGGCCCTCTTGGGAATTCCGATATATATTTTTCATTTAATAATCTGAACCAAAGCTTTATTGATATCAATAATAATAATCCGATCATATTGAAAACTCTTTCACTTCGATATTGTTAAAATGTGGCAGAAAATGCTTTTGAAATATGCTGCCATTGAAATGATGCCACACTTTATTTTTAATCATTCAAAATTGATCGCCCTTCATTATAATTTATGTATCGTCGTCATGGCGAAATGAAAGGTGTAATTATAGCATTTACCTTCTCAATTGAATTATTACGGAACCATTTGCCAGTTTCCAAAATCATTCCCTTATTCATTTAAATGTACATGTATGTGCACGGTTCATCTAGTTTAAGAGATTTATCGCACAGATTACATGAATTTCCTCTTATATACATCGAAGAATCCATACATTCTTCGAACAATTAACGGCAACGAGAGACGTGGAAGAGTCATTTTCCCACCTAAAGTAATCAATAATTCATGTCCATTTTGTGTGCGCGTGTGTGTGTGTCAGTAAAATACGATCACAAAGTGAACAGCGGATATAAAATGAAATACGATTCTCAACTATCGTTGTTCTGGTACAATGAACGAAACCAAAATGAACAAGATTGGTTCCCGTACGTTGCTCGAACTATTGACTGACTTTAACAGTTTTCTTCTGTTAAGCAAACATCGCGCTCTCGATACCAACCGCACAATACTTCATAATATGCACAATGGCCAATCTCGGCCAAGTCATAAACGAGTGATTTAAGGGCATTCGGAATTAACATTTTATGCAGCTGGAAATTGCGTGCAAATGAGTTTGCATATTTTGTAAAACAAAAAGGGAAAAAACCTGCACAAAGCGTCAACACATTTAAGAGCAGCCATAGCAAAGACCGATTAAGCTGGCGTGTCGCGAGCCACAATACGTGTTACATAATGAATAACTTTGCTTATGAAATTAAACAAATCGGTCGAAAAGAAGAAGAAAAATCGAAAAAATTAAAATAAAAAAATATATGTCTTCATTGTGGGGTTGTTTGGCTGTGGCATTTTGGTTTGACCGATTTTTCAGTTTAGTCGTTATTTGGCGTGGGTTTGGTGACAAGTGTTTGTTTGAATGGCTTTATATAAATAAACATGCCAAAGAGTACACAATAGAGAGAAACGATTTGTTAACTTTGTGCGCATAGCAATAAATAAATGTTTAAATAAATACCAAATTTTACAACGCAATTTAATATCGAAAGTTTTAAAGTGAGTTTTAGCTATAAACGTGAGTAACTTAAAGTTAAAGTCCATATATGTTAAAATGTGAAAGTAACTACATTTTTTGCGAACGAAAAAAAGCGTCGAATCATCGAAAAGTGAATTTCCGATTTTGCATCATTGCAAAAGTAATTAGTTTAATGGGAATAGATATTTACCGTATATTACTTTGCAGCCTCAAACGTGTTTCCATATGAAAAATTGAATTTTCCATTTTTTTTCTCTTACCACAATATTTATATACATACAGTGTATGCAATGCACTAAAAATATCGAATAAATTATTAAAACGCGGAAACGAAAATAAGAAGAGAAAAAAGAGTAGAACCGAAAAATAGATAAAAACTATAAATATTCTACCCTCCATCTATAAAACACATGGGGAAAAAAGTTTACGAGTGCAAGTTGCATTCAATGCAATAAAAATCATTTTTGTCCATTCGTGCAGTTCAATTGGAGTATTTGTACAATTCACTGGAGTGTTTGAGAGACGTATGAGAGGAATGTGGGGAGAAAAAGCAGGAAAATTCGATTATATCATAAGTGTATCCACATCTGTGACAATTGTGGCTTTTCGCTTCAGCAAAATGCTGTCGTTATATGATTATCAATCGTATTGTGAATATAACGTCGATAATTCATTTTCTGAACATTCGAAATCAAGTTTATTTCGATGTGTTGGTTCAATTTTATTGTTTCTTTTTTATGTTCGAATAATTTTTCGAGATATAGTTCTTGTATCACATTTTATGTGTTTCGAAGCAGAGATTTTTGTTACTTCTTCACCAATTTTAGAGCCAATCATCAAGGATCGAGCCAAAAATAGAAATTGGAACATTTTTTGCTTCGATCCATGGTATATAATTTTAAATTGCTGATAATAGCTGCAAAATATTGGCGAGAAATCGATTAGCAAAAATAGTGACGAAATGCAAGAACATAGTTCGCGAACGATATCTAATTTCCACGATTGATGAGAAATTACTCTACATTTTCCATGCAACAACAGTAAAAAACGGTTTACAACGATAAAGTCAACGATGACATAGATGAATGGTACAGATGCTGATTTTCTACTAGACATTCCCACTCTGTGGTGGTGTGTGAACTTTTTGCCCCTATTTGTGCTCTCGCGAAAATGTTTGAATTTAATTTGAATGGAGATTTTTCAATTATAGTATGCTAAAGCAAATGAATTTAAATTGCGAATACACCTGAACAACAAGATATATATGTATATGCATGTTTAATGCGGTTGAAATACCAATGTATAATGGATGATGAAACTACATTTCAAACACAAGCTCATATGCTGTGTGAAAATATACTAATTAGTTTACTTTTGACTTTTCCATGTGTGAACACCGTTGTGAGTCTCGATATTAAATCCTTATGGCAAAAAGCGTGCTTCTTTGGGGAATATTTTCATCATTTTTATTGGATTAATTCACGAAAGAAAAAAAAACAAGCCAAACATTATCTATTTGCTGTGTGTGTGGAAACTATTTATTTTATACGTCGTAGGTGTTTGGTTTTCTATATTCAGAGTGAATATATTTGGAAGTCAAAACTTTGCAATATGATAAATGATCATAACATCATTAATTTATCGTTACATCAGATGAATCTGGAATACCGAGAATTCTCCCCACCGAAAACTGAAATAAAAAATATATATATACAGGGTGTCTCACGAAATAGGGCCACTCTTAGGGGGTGGGAATTTTGAAAAACCCTTTAGGGGGTATGTTGGGGGTAAAAATAAAAAATTTCTATCGGTGTAGAATTTTGAATTTTTCCCCAGATGAGGGCAGAGGTCTCAAAAAATTTCTCTCGTCATTCTGAACAACTTTGTAGTACATTATTTTTTGATCGGATGAAGTTTTGCAAAATTTGGGGCACCCCCACCCCATCTGAGGATAAATTCAAAATTCTGCTCCGATAGAAATTTTCTATTTTTTACCCCCAAAGGGTTTTTCAAAATTCCCACCCCCTAAGAGTGGTCCTATTTCGTGAGACACCCCGTATATATATCCAACTTTGAATGACTTTATATCAAATAGTGCATCCCATAAATACATAAAATCAACAATATTCTACCTCTCAACTATTTTATGAAATTATGTGTATAGGATACAACAACGGCAACAAATTCAACAACATCATTGCCACAAACCCGATACTATCAGTCACCGCCACGTTCGGTGTCGATATTGGTGTACAAAACCATAAATTCGGTGTATAAAAGTAGTCGCAAGATAATCGTACGAGTATGCGAAGTGGCCAGCACAAAAAAAGTCAAACCATTCAAAATGTTTAATTTATATTCGACAATGAATCGGCGCAATGCAGCCGACGAGAAAGACCAACCAAAAGAGCTTGAAACCACCGGTCATGATCGCTTTTGTCAAATACGTCCATCCAGGTAGACACACATACAAAATCTAATCCTTCGTTAATCCATTATGTTTATTCCAACCAACCAAAAAAAAATCCATATGAGAAAGAATTAGAAAAAAAAGAACGAATAATAATCGAACTTTATTGGAATTCATATATGAATCTAGGTCTTCATATCGTAAAAAACGCAAACGAAATGTTCGACGCGCTCAATCGGCGGCCGAATTCGATCCGCGTGCACTATCAGCTGCAAATAAACGAACTCTGTTCACGTAAGCCACAATTGTGTTTTTGATTGTTTGTTTTTATTTTTTTTTTTTTTGAGAAAAGAAAACGTGCCTTTTCTCTTTTTTCATTTTAACGTTAATAATGTCATTAGTTTTTTCTTGGCAATTCACATATTAACTGTGGAATTCAATTTATATACAGAGGCAGATCCGTTAGTTCAGAGCAAGAAAATTCAGAAAGCGAACAAACCGAAAAGTCTCCATTGGTCAGTGCAAAACTGGAAACGTTTGCTAAAATGCTATTCAATCGCGCAAATTCATCATCACAAGACAGCACTGGTGGCAGTGGTGGTGGGAATGGTAGTGGTGGTATGGGCGGCACACAAAAAGAAAGCAGTTCATCGCCAACCAGGTGGCTATACGAAGAAAATACAAAATTGTTTGACGCTATTTTATGAACTGCGATTATAGTTGTTAAACCTATTTATGAAAAAGTTATGAATGTTATGTGAAAAGTTTTGTTTTTTATGCCATAAATGTATTAAATAGCTTCAAACCGTTGATTGTAACGAATTTGTGGTCTTTGAAATTTGAATGATTGTTGCTGAACGTAGATTAAACCGATAAACCGATATATCGATTGTTATCGAGTTGCTCTTTTATTTATCTCCATTTTCTTGGAAAAAGTTGTGCCATTTCCGTCATCATCAAATAATAATTGAATGTCTTTTTTATACATTTTCCATCAAAATCCAGAAAATGTGCTCATTTTGCTTGATAAATGTAGAAATATTAAATAAAAACCGCTCGACATTTTACCATACACACAATTTCAATCACTTCGATACTTACGAATCCAAATTGAATTTCCATTGTATGTACCATTTTCCAAATGACTTTTCAAATGAATTGGCCAGATCATATAAATTAATTCTCTCACAATTGTAGATTGCACTCTGTTCATTTTCTTCATTTTTTATTCGGACCGATTTTAATCCTTTCTTCAACATACGACAATACAATTAGTATTTTGCATGAGAACGACAGCATCTGGTGAAAATGCACTTTAGCAACAAGATGCCGTTATCTTTCATTCGAAAAATTTATTCATAAGAACAAATGAAAACTAATTGGGGTGTACTCATCTGTCCTTTACTCTTAGATGTTTCTCTCTCTCTCTCTCTGTGTTTTTTTCATTCTTCTCTGAGTAAATGTTCGGAACATTTTAAAACTAGGTTAATATTTATATCTATATATTTTTGTTTAAAAAACATTCGTATTCCATCAACAATTGCGTGAAATGATAAAAAAAACTCTCGCTTCGTGCAACCCAGAGAGTAAATGACTCGAGCAGATATTTTAAATTCATTTTGCATTTACCAATTGGTGAACACAATGTCATACACAGCCATCTAGACAGCCATTAACTCAGTTTACATTAGCTTGGTATTTTCATATTGCATGAAATATTTTCGAGAGAGAGAAGATACGGCGAAATAAATGAAAATTTTACTTCTTTCTGAACAAAATGTTGTGTTTATACATAGATAGATTGTTTGACTTGTTTTGAGTCTAAATGCAAACAAACTTTCCATTCATGTTTTCTCTTCGATAATTGAAATAGTTTTGATGACAATGTGCATCGATGTATTTGAATTCGCTGTTTTTCTTCGATTTTTTTAAAATAATATTTAAGTTATGTTCATTTTCTGACGACTTTATGTCGTTTAGTTCTGCCGAGCCGTTATTGTGTTGAAAACTACGAACATTTTTCATTTGAAACACACAAAAAAAGTCTGTATACTCGGTAGGTATTGTACAATGTACATAATTGTTTGGTTGCGAAAGCTGTAAAACGCTTCTTTTCTTCTTCCGAAAACTTTATGCGGAAAACCCCTTTTTCGTATGTGTCAACATTTGTGTTTTTGTAATTAAAATCCATCTTTTGTATGAAATTTATATAAAATGCAATTGAAATATCTGCTTTTAACCGCAGGAAGGGAGTGGATTCAAAGGGAACGCATAGAATATTTATATAGTTGTATATTTTATAATTGGATCGTCGTCGTCGTCGTCGTCGTCATCATCATCATTAAAATAATAATCAATTGGTTATTGTTGTGCAATTTAAAACCATAACAGTAAACAAAGTCAACAACTCGCGACTTGTTTGCCGTCGATGTTGTCCAATCCACAAACAATGAATTTAGTTCGTGCATTTTCTCATTATTTAAAACTGTTATTCATTATTTTTTTATTGATTTGTGCATTTCCAATGAACTTTGAAACGAAAAAAAAAACTTTAAAACTTTCAACGAGACTTGAATTTCTGTATGTTTTGATGTTCAAACTTTTACCAATATAGTTGGTTTTTTTTGCTACCTTGTAATGTGCTAGTAAATCATAAATTTGTTTACTAAATGTTCCATTTTATCATATTTTCACTGTATTATAAAAGTCGTTAAAAGTTACTAATAGTTATTGTTAATATAATTTAAATAATTGCTCGATTGATTCATCTTCTTACGTTATTTTTGCTCATTTTCCATTGAATTCGATGTGTAGAAACAACTTGAAATTCCAGTACTCCGCATTGGATCCGGGGATGACAGCGACCGAACGAACGCCACGCGAACGAGCCACAAGAGAAAGATCATACATTTCGTGTCAGGAATGGACGGAAAAATCGGCGGGCCGCTATGAGATCATGGCACATTTGGAAGAAATCGGATGCCGACCGAATAAAAATTGGTTTTTGTTAAGTGATACAACTGTACGTACGGATCGATTGATGACATTAATTCCATTGCCAGCCGATTGTATTGCATTGGAAGAACTTTCACCATCCGATTCACCGAAGGGAGTGCTCATGGAATTGCTTGGCTCACTGCAACATCCATACGTTTATCCGGTTTTAGATTTAGGCATTTTCTACTCAAATCAAACACATTATGCGTGTCTTGTGATGCCATTTAATGCGCGCGGCAGTCTCAAGGATTTAATTTACAAAGTAAAGTTCATGTGATGCACCTGATTGAAAAAATGTCACTAAAAATTGTTTTTTTTTTTTTGTGCTATGCATCGTGCAGTCGCAATGGAATGATCCATGGAACCGTAAATATACAAGAAAATCAACATGTTTGCCGCTGTCACAGGTTGGTGCTTATTTTCAATCATTCTGCTTTTACAGCCAGAAGAAAAAAATTAGTAGTCACTCACAGAAGTACTCGAAAGAAAGTTTATTGTTATCATTTTGAATTCATTTATTCACATTTAGTTCACTTATGTGTGCTTATTTCACGAATACAAGCGATTTGTTTAATAATACGATCTTTTTTTCCAAATATTGTACAGGTGCAACGGTTGGGCCGACAAATTTTGGAAGCATTATTGTTTTTACGGGAACGGGGCTTTCCATCTCACGGCCATTTACATTCGGGGAATGTTATTCTACAGAATGGTGTAGCTCGGTAAGGAACATAATTTATGATTTATATGTTATCATCAACATCATCAATTTTTCCACTTGTCAACGTTCATTTCATATGTAATATTTCCGATGGACATTTCTGCGCCGAAAATATTTACAGAGATATAAGGGAGGAACACTAACAAAAGATAGAAATGAGAGAGATTGAGAGAGTGGATGGGGGTGTTGTATGAATTTTACTTGAATGCACACCATTAAAAATCGATGTCCTTGTTGTTTCATATTAATCATCCATAAACCATTGAAATAATATGACACATATTTATTCTATTCTCATGTGACCATATAAACCAGCGGCACAGAAATTTGCGCACATATTGATGATAATATATTATTGTGTTATTAACTTCGTCGCAAGTAAACAGAGTTCAATTAGATTTTCTATGATCGCATGCGGAGAAAGAGAGCGAGTGTGTGTTGGGATTGTGTGGGTGTTTCGTGTCACCGTTGTCACCACCACATATGCTACTGTGCAAAAGCTTCACGCGAACAAGCATGGCATATATCTTATTTCGTTGGATTTTTATCGATGTATTTGAATATTTTACAATTGTTTTATATCTTCTTGTATTTCGGTTTCTGCATGCATTCAAAATTACCGTGTCTGTAGTATACACCTGTTCGGGAATCGGTTTTTGGCTAATCCATTTGTGGTTATGACGCAAACCGACAATTTGAATATTAAACCGAGCAAATCACCATAATAAAATAAACATATGCATGTTTCGTTCATGCATTTCATATATGCTTGTAGGCTATCGGGATTGGAAAATGGTTTATTGGGCTTAAATTCAAAAGTGAATGCCGTCGTTTGGGCAACGAACATTGTCGATGTCGAGAATATGGATATTATTTGCTTTGGACATTTATTGTTTGAAATGTGTACGGGATATGAGTTGCCGTCACCGCGACCAACAGCTGGCCATTTGCAATTGGATTTAGAAAGATATCCACAGGTATGATTTTTTTTGCATAATTTTCGCCTTTTGTATGTACACTTGTACAGAATGTCCCAACCGGATTAAATAAATCAAATTGCTTGGAAATGATACACGAATAGTATATAAGATGGAACGATGTTTTGTAATTGAATATAGGTGGTTGAAGTGCTACAAATGATTTTTGAATCGCCCGATAATCGATACCCAACCGTCGAGGAGCTTGTGCTATGTGATTTATTTCGCAATATCGATTTGCGTGAGATGCGAGGTCCATCAATTTCGGTTAGTATTTTACTTGAATAAAGAAAAAAACAGCATTTATCATGTTGATGAAGAAATTATCATTTAATGGCTTCGGTTATGACTTTCTTGGTTTTTTTTTTCTTCGTCATTTTATAGTCATTTAAACATGGATTAAGCATGTCCACATTGAACCTGTTGAATGCAGTGCGTCGAAGACAGGGCGCATCGTTAAATGGTTCGTATAGCGAAGGTTCAAGCCCGTGCACACCGCCGTCAACACCACGACGAATCGGGTAATTAACACCATTATACACGGACCTTTTGTTCGCATTAAATCGCCATTTCTTTATCGTTTGACATTGTCGTTTCTAATTTATTTCTTTACATTTATCATTTTGCATGCAATTTATGATACGAAATCACCGGACGGGTGATTCGATTTGATTTCATTTGATTTCTCTCTATCTATATCACCATTTGCAGTACATACGGTGCACCACTTCACTTTGATTTTCGATTTGAAAACCAATAAAATTTAAGCAGCATTTTTTACAACACAATGTAATTGCATGATTGTTTTTTCTTTGTTTTGTTGATTTTAAGCCGTTTTATTTATTTTACCGGATAATTTTTGTTGTTGTAATAATACAAAATTTAGTCAAGCATTTTTTTGAGCTTTTCAATAAAAATTGAAATTTACACCACAAAATTTGGCGAAAAATAATATATACTAATAAAAAAATTGCTTTTTGTTTCATTTTACTCCAAACATAAACACACTCGATTAGATTGCGTGATGTAAATTCATTTGACATTTCAAGCGATTCCGAAGATGTTTTGGATGAAGTTGTAATAACAGCGTCTTCATCGGAATTTCATCAATTTCATGGTTTTCTCCATCCATCAATATCGTCGCCAATTGCATTCTTTGACAATAGCATGCATTCAATGGAATCAATGCCATCAACATCAGCAAATGTTGGCGGTGCAACAACAGCACCAACAACAACCAGTTCGTTGAGTATTTCAAATGAAATTACAAATGAAAATTTGACAATTCCATGCTGTTCATCGGTCACCATCTCGCCATCAACATTTTCAAATCAATTGACAACCGATTTGTGTACGACATCGAAAAATTCAAAAAGTCGTCGAATGGAGTATTCGATGCGTGGCACAAAAACATGCAGTAGCAGTAGCAGTTGTAACCCATCCCAAGATTCAGCATTCGGTTCAATGACAGATGGTGAATTATCAATTGCATCAAACAGTTGCCGAATGAGTAGTTTTCAGTCAATGTCATCGCCAATCGATGAAAGTGTCGAAGATTCAATAACTGGTTTACCTGGACCATCGCTAACATCGTCACTGTCACGTGCATCGACCACATCGAACAACGAGAGTATTGATGTGCCCGATTACAATCCCACACAGATGGCAGTCGCATCATCTGCGTCCGATTTTAATTTATTGAAAAAGAAATCGGCATCGTTTGGTACAACATCATCCAGCGGATTGCCCATCGAACCGCCAACCATTTTAGTAAACGACGGTAATTCATTTTATACAACATCGCCGGCCAAAACATTTGACACCATTCAAGTGTTTTCACAAAAGTATCGGGTGTCATCGTTTGAGGATATGTCAATGAAACGAAATTTCTTGCGAAATGTGCATAAGCAAAATTTTCGATCGCTTGAAGAAGAGCGTCGCATTGATTCGGCATTTACGCCAGTGGTGAAAACAATGCATTCACATCATCGTTCATTTGATGCTGGCCATCGTAATATTAATAATTCGGAAAAATTTAAAAAACTTACGCACGTTTCGTTTGCCAGCAAAATATCAACGACACGCGAACGGCACACCGTATGGAAAAATAGTATTTTAGCAAGAAAAAATAATCTGATCAAGTCAAATGAATCGCTACACGATTATAGTGGATCGAGCGGTTCGAATAGTGGTAGCCCAAAAACGGCCCAACAAAACGAATGCTTTTACGATACAAAATTACGGAAACGTGTCAATTCAACAAATGAACTATGCTCAACATATCGCAACGATGTGGAGGGACGATTCTCAGCACTGACCGATGATTTAAAATTATTTACACAAAAATCATGCTCAGAACGTTATTTACTTAATATGACAATGCTCAGGCAAACGACAATTAGCAATGATTGCGATGAATGCGATGAAGACGAATCGAATGGGGCACATCGATCGGAAAATGAAAGTTGTATGGACGAAACATGTAGCAATAGTTCAAACAGTGGATACGGTCATATTACACTTACGAATAGTTCAACCAATTCAAAAACCGAAAATAACAGCACCGATTCATCGCCCAGTCATCGAAGTATGTGCAAAATAATCGGTGGCATCGAATCAGATAATCGACACATCGAGGAAAAAATTCCATTATTAGACGGCATGGAAATGTCTCCGATCAGTCCAGTAGAAAATAATGATATGTTGTGATATTCTCAAGTAGAATTGTAAGAATAAAAAAAAAGAGAAACAAACAAACAATCGACGACAGTGAGCACACACACTACGTATGGGATATAATGTGTATAACGGAATAACAAAATAATCGATAATGTCGTTTTAGCGCGGTGATTTATGGATTCGACGATGGCAACTAAATCCGAACGGTGGTAACAAGTATTTAATTGCGATAAAGTCACTATGTCAATACTACATATATAGTTGAATAAAGAATTTTAATTAGAAATCATTGCAAATGCAATCCAATCAAGAACAAAACCAAAATGAAAATCTCTCCATAAATCAATCACCTATACTCATTCTGTAAGTACTGACTTCAAACCCCCGCTTCTCGCACATTACATGAAAATTCCAAATAGAAATGAAAAACGACAAACTGAGTTCAACATAGTTCATTAGAGTTCATTTCAATAATGAATAATTGTACGTAGCTTTACTGAAACAAATATAGACAAAATCAAAAACCACATACAAAAAAAAGAAAATCGTGAATATGTCAACATATTCAAAATTCATGGATTTCCCATTTAGAAATGTTTGTTACAATAAATATATTATTTATATATACCTACTATTGAATCAAATTTAAAAAAAGACTTGACCTTTTATCGTTTATATATCATTATAGTGTTTAGATTATTATATTACTTTTTGGTCTTTACACAAACACACAACAACTGAATAAAAGAAAACAACTTATATGTATAAGAATTAATCAGACAATATGAATGATGAATGCATTTCTCCTAAAAAACCGAAACACAATCCAATTCATGAATTGAAAATCTTTGGAAACGGAAACCATTCCAACCACTTCGAGTATCATACCGAGTTTCTTCATTTCATATCGACAATTATAGAAACGTTTGTTTGAAGAAAAAAAATCTATTTCGTGCCGTCCTATACATTTCTAATCACACACAAATTTTGCTTTTTCTGAATATTTGGTTTAAAATCGAATTTTTTTTAAAATACTAACAGTGTTTCCATAATCAACAGTTGTTTAGTCACAAATACACCAGAAATTCGATCGAAGAGAAATGTTCTTTTTCTGTGTGTATGTCCATTTAACTTTATCTTTCCTAAAAGTTCCTTCGTTTCTGTAGTATTTAAAAAGTTTTGCCTAATTCTGACTCCTTAGTTTTTAGTTAAAAATCGGACGAACGGGCGACAAAATTTTCGTTCGGAAGTCAATTTTAATTCATTTAAGCGTATATAAAGATTTAAAAAAAATATATCATAAAATGTTGAGATTGAACGTAAATCATCATCCTGTCATGTTGTGTTAAAGTTCATTCTATATAGTATATTCTTCTGGGTCCAAACTTGAACAAAATAATTTAAAAAGTGTCTGTTGAACATTGCAAAGTTCATCTCAAGAGAGAGAGAGAGAGAGAGAGAGAGAGAGAGAGAGAGAGAGAGAGAGAGAAGTGGATGAAACTATTTAGTCGTAATATATTCAAAAGATATCTATCCCGTTGACGATTTTTCGTGTGACCACACCATAATTGGTTTTTTGACTGGCATTGTGTATAAAACGAGTACAATGTTTTAATTTGACAATAAATTGATGTTTTTAACATTTTAACGAAGCCAAAAAAAATCGAGAATGAACCAAACCAAAAAAGCGAAAAAAATCAAAATATTTAATTTCGGCGCGCCTTCAGAAAAAAGCTTCAATTCTTTTAATGCAAAAATTTAAATGAACCGATATTTTTAGGATTTAGTAACTTGTTCTTTACATAAATGGAAACGACAAAATATATATTTTTTGCACATTCAATATTTCCATTCCTTACTCATTTGAACCAACAACAAAAAATTGCTTAATCGATATTTGCACATTACCAAGAGACGATTCGTTTAAATAGTGAATAAAAGATACCCATATTTCCCCTTTCTGTCGTCATTCCGAACGAAGTGAACATTACATAGTAGAATGTCGAACATGATCTATGAATTATCAATTGAACGGCTTTCAAAGAATATATTTTATTTTTTCTTTGAAAACGAAGTTGATAGAAAATTTATTTGTAGTTCCATTGTGTCTAAATAACACCTTGTTCAATATATACAGCGTATTAAACTTTAAACGTGCTGAATTTAGGCGATTAGAGGATAAAAAATATAAAAAATTTATAATTTCTCAAAAAGTCTTATTGATAGTATTTCCGACCCGAGATCAATTATAAGATGAAAATAAGATTTTCTTCTTCTTCGAATCCTCGAGGAGGTCACAACAGAAAACTGTAAATTATTTTTCATCCAAAACAATGTTACTTCATGAACATTCTAAACGAAATGTCATTGTAACTATTTCCCAGTGGTAATCGAAAACATTAGCTTTTTTGGGAATTTGTCAAATTAATGAAGAATTTCTCTTAAATGTTACATTCTCTAAAGATAAAATCTCAAACAGTTCAAGCGTCCACATTGTGTTGAACTGTGTATTTTAGTGTAGTATTGATACAGTACGGTCTGCTACATCAGTTTTAAATGTAAACATTTAATAAAATACTATAATTATGTACAGAAACAAATACGGCATTTTATTGCTGCCAATATAATTGCTGCCCTCGATTTTCAGCCAAACTAAAAACAAATATATATATATCTGAAAAGATCACGCTCACCTTATTTTACCGAAACAGAGAAAATAATATTTACATATTTATTCCATCAAACAATTATATTAGAAACGAGTGAATATTTAAATAAATTCTATTATATATATACAATAACGGTTTATGATATATAAACTCAATACTTTAGAATAGTTGAATAAAAATTGAACGGAATAAATCCGTTTTTTAATTCCCGAATTGACAAAATGCTCGACTACCAAAAATATAGATGAAAAATATATGTGAGTTTACCAAAACCAAAATCAATATTAAACTGAAACAAAAAAAAACCTATAACGAACTACAAATCCATCTCATATCAAACAATAAATGAATAAAGCATACAAAACTAAAATAGAATAAATGGAGTTTTTCATTTAAATTTTGAATTGCATTGTTGATTCTTTGTTTTCGAACAATTCAATTTTGCTGTCTTTTACTCTATCGAATTGTGTGTGTACGTGCAGAATCACACATTGTTTGGTGTATAGCGAAAATAGAACGAATCATCTGAGTACATACAATACGGCAGAATGTAAACAAAGAATTCAGGTGGTGTCGCTGCTATCATCATATTTCATTGTATTCCATTTGACACATTTGAAACGACGAGAAAAGAAATACGTAAATTAAACTTGCGTCGATGACATTTCGGAAAAGGTGACGTTTTCATTTATTTAGTCAATAATTGCGATTGTTTCCACCGAACACTCAAAATTCGCAAGAAAAACGCCGAATGAAATATTATAACGAAAAAATTCATCTAAATGAATTTCAATTAAATTCACAGAACAAAAGGACGAATTTATAATTTAAGATAGAATAGCATAGAACATGGATACCAAACTAGATGTAAGTATAAGTTGAATTTTATGCATATATTACGGAATGGCCCAATTCAAAGGTAAATAAAATTTGTTATCACTACAGATGCACGATGGCGACGATTATTCACTTGCAGGGGATATGTCCATACCGTCAGCACGAAGGAATAATGCACAACCCGGTCAACCAGATTTCAATACATTAGACGAACCGATCAAAGAAACAATTGTAAGAAATATTGACCATCCGTATGTGAAGTCAAGTGCGATTTGAAACATTTATTTTGATTACAGATGCGCGATGTTAAATCAGTTACTGCGAAATTCTATCACGTTTTATATCCAAAAGAAAAATCAACATTACTCAAGGTAATTAAACGGGCCTTTTATTAAATCACTTGAATAGTTAATCACTTGAATAATTAATTAAGGAGTGGGATCTTTGGGGCCCGTTACTGCTTTGTACATTCATGGCAACAATACTTCAAGGAACAGCAGACATAACAGACTCAAAAGGTGATGGTGGACCACAATTTGCACAAGTTTTTGTGATCGTTTGGATTGGAGCGATGATAGTCACACTCAATTCTAAATTACTCGGTGGCAATATGTAAGCACTAAAACGATTTTTGAAAATTTTAATTCAAAATAGAAAAAAATCGATTTCACAATGAAAAAAAAAATAATTTTTTTTCAGATCATTTTTCCAGTCAGTGTGTGTGTTAGGGTATTGCTTGGCACCTGTGGCCGGGTCTTTAATCGTGTGCTCTGTACTGCTATTCATTGAACAAACTAAATTTATATTTTTCTTACGGCTCGTGGTTACATTGATTGGCTTTTTATGGTCATCCTATGGTAAGACCACCGTCATGAACCGAAATTCCTTTTAAACACATGAAAAAAACTAGATAAACATATTTAAATAATGTCCATATTTCATTTTCAGCCGCATACGTTTTCCTGGGTGATAGTCAGCCACCAAATCGGAAACCGTTAGCTGTGTATCCCATTGTTTTATTCTACTTTATTTTATCTTGGCTTGTAATATCACACTCCGCCACCTAAATTCAAATATATGTGTTTATATTAGATATTAGTTGATAACTGTAAATTATGTGAATTTAAGTTTATCGTATCAATTGAGAACAATCCAATGTTTGCAACAACAAAAAAACTGTATGAAAACGAGTGTGTGTGAAATTTAAATTTCAGTTCATTCCAAAAAAAATTCAATTTTGAAACAAATAAATGAAATATATATATATGTAACTAATTCTACAATTTTAAACCATTTTCAAGTTTTTCAAGCAATCGCAGCATTTAAGATTTCTGTTTAAATCTAGAATCCAGCTACTAATTTCGAATGTTATTCGACGATATGTCAAAATGTTTATCATATTGTTGCCATTCCAAAATCATAAATGTATATACATAGCGCGAATAGCTACGTGTTAATATCACATATCAGTGAAAAAAATGAAACGAATCGAAATCCGGAGTGTAGATTATTATTGAAGCGAAAAACGTCATAACAACATCGACGCCATATTGAATGTCTCTGTGTGTATTTGTGCTGTTTTTCTTTCTTTCTCTGTTCGTTTGTGTTGAAATGTGTTTGTATTCGCATAGCACGAATAGAGTCGATGGTACGCTTGAAAGTCATTGTGTTTCTTTTGTTGACGAGACGCAAAACAAAACAAAGAGATTAAATACACAATTCGAAAATCGAAACGACGACGACGACTAAGAAGCAGATTCATTTTTCATTTGCAAATTTCAGTTGTAAACGTAGAAAAAATTTGGTCGACTCTCTGTCGACACACATTTTTGAATTTTAATTTTTTTTTTTAAATAAAAATCAAGTTTCAAGTGTTGTAAATCAAAAATAGTTGAAAAACACCAACAATTTCAAAACGAAATTTCGTGAAATAGACGAGAAACTAAAAAAGATTATAAAAAAGATTAAATGTATGTGTTCGTGTGAAATACAAAGACGTCTGACATTTAAATTTGCTTTAGTGCGTATTTAAGCAAATATAAAGTTTTTGCAAAACGAATTTAAAATAGAAAAAAAAGAAGAAAGAAAATCATAGCAAAATGACAACCACACCACCAAAAAATGCAGACGATTCATTGAGTGATTCGTGGATTGATATGAATGGCATCAAAAGTCCAGGCAATCTATCGGGCCATGTAACGCCATTACCATTTACATTTGGCGAAGAGTATTTGCGTTTGTTGCGCGAAGCACAACGTGATTCAAATCAATCGAGTCGTGTTGTATCATTGACCAGTTCCAGACGTGATACGCCAAAGGAAAGTCCAAAATCACCTCCAAACAGCCCGAATTTTGCGGACGATGAATTGCGCGGTGTGTATGTTAATTACTGGAATAAAGAAGGTGGTGAATATATGAATTTTCAAAATGCTGATTGGATATGGGATTGGAGTTCGCGACCCGATCAATTACCACCAAAAGGATGGAATTTCCAACATCCACGACGACGACCGGGCTATTCAATGCGTTTGGCACGTGTTGGCAATAATTCATTATTTTCACGCGAAGTACTTTACTCGTTATTGCTCACAAATGTATTGTCGCTGATTATTGGGGCTGGTGTTGGAGTTTGGCTAAGTAAACGTGGTGTTGGTTTCATCTTTGGCAATATCCAATCGCTTGAATGATTAATCGCCGATGATGTTTATGTACTGGACGGCATGAACTGGATTTAGATAACAATTATTTAAAAAAAAAAAACACAATTCTTCTTTGCGACGCAAACAACTGCATCGCAACACACAAACATATACACACACACACACACATAATCAAAACATCTGATGGCAACCGACGATGACTATTTGTAAACAGTCTTCTTTATCCATCCAATTCAACATACAGTTAATTTCCAGATGTTCATGCCTTCCCTAAATGGACAATGTACTGAACCAAACATCACGCACATTCAACTCCGGTTTTATTTCATATTATAATAATAATTATTATTTTTGCTTAAAACATATTATAAACATTTTCAAATAGATTTTTATCCGTAAAAAATTCATATACTTCAATATATATATGCGTAAAAAATTAACACATATATCTAACTATATATCTATAAACAAATATCCGAAATCCGGTGATGATATACAGAATGAATCTAACGTCGTGATTTAATACTACGCAAAATATTTGGTATGAACTTTTTTTAACGCAAAAAACCACACCAAACGATTTAAATCACTTAACAAGAAAAATTCACACGAACAAACAAATTTTTTTATAAAAGACGACGGATTTATTCTCAATGCTTCTCAATTTTTAAAAAAGCTGAAAATTATCAAAGTTGTTTTAAGCTTGTCTTTTTTGATAACAATATATATAGTTTTTTTGACAGTGTTTTTATAACGAGTTTTATTTGTCTTGCACGGTATAGATTACAGATTCATATATTTACTGTGAAAATAGAACCAAGAAATACAGAAGAAAAAAAAAACAAAACTCTTTTTACTATTTTACAAGATTTTCATTAGTTCAGAGAGTTCCAAGACTTGATCGTGAGAGAACCCGATATACATGAAATGAGAAAGCAAAATATGTCGAAAAATACGATCACATATATGTAACCGAACAGATAAAAAATTGATTGAATGGGTCAATTATTGGTGAATATATGATGTATCACGTTATTTATATAAATTAACTGCAAATAAACATTTAGATATCTAAACTGAAAAACAAAACGCAGAAATTAAAAGGAAGAACGAGAATAAGAAAGAAAAATGCCGAGAAAAAAGAACATTTTAGCAAATTAGACACGGTAATCGTCTTTCGTTTTGGTATATAGAAACTTTCTGCATTATTACAATTTCAATGTTATCATTTTGTTTATAAGAAAATCTAAATCATTTTTGGTTTTATTTTGATTTTTTTTGTAATTTGTGAAAATAAAGATGAAAATTGAAAACAAAAGAAGAGGTCTTTTTTATTGCTATTTTTTTTTTCATTTTCAGAGAGATATTATTTTAACGCCAATTTTAGCGATACTTAATTGAGCATCTGTATTTTCGGCTGGAATGTGGTTATCATGTGCAGACAAGCAATAAAAAAAACGATGGTGTGAAAGAAATGCGCAAAGGACCTTCAAACGCTTTATAATTCAATGGCTCTTCAACTTATAATCTCGCAAACAAATATATAGATTTATCACATTTCATCCGAACACATACGGGGTGTACACATGCACGAACAAATAACAGTCATATTGTGTACAGTGTACACTTGTATATACATTTTTTTTGCGTATCAAAGTCTACTGCTTCAGTAATAACAGCATTTGTAGCATCTATGACACCGCCTGTATGTTTGTGTATTCTAATTGAATTCATTATTGTTGATTTTGCATAAGTTTTTTTCAGACAATATATTTAACTAACTGGTCAGTTGAGCTGACAGTACGTTAGCCAGCTAAATGGACTAAAACAATAGAAGTTATTGTTATAATGAACAATCACTTCTATTAAAACAAGAAAAGTGATCCATCATTAAAACAATAACGTCTATTGTTTTAGCCCATTTAGCTGGCTAACGTACTGTCAGCTCAACTGACCAGTTAATTCAATATATTGTCTGGTTTTTTTTCCTTTTCTTGAATCCGCGTCGTCGACGTGACATTCATCTCGTGTTTCTGTTTTGCAAGTGAAATTTTATACGATGAAAAGAAGGGGCATTAAGACAATCGCATATAACCTTTGTAACAAAGGAACTGTATCAGGCTTTTGCTGATACAAACACACACTCGCCTACCTCTACACCTACAATCACTTGATTCATCGATTTAAAGTAAAGAGCCGTTGTTGAGTGTTTGAAAATGCGTTGTATGTCCAATTTATAATTAGGTACATGCGCATATCAAGATAATAAACAATTAAAATTTCTATAATTGTGTTTTGAATATATAAAATGCATTTAGTGGAATAAAAAAAAACTTCCGCACTTTCCCCCCTTACTTAGTGTACATGTGAAGGCCGCAAATTTTTTTCAATATTGAATACATTCATACACAATGTGCAAGTTTCTTGAGCAAATGATATATGCCGCACTCGAAAAACAAGAAACAAAAGAAGAAAGAACACTTAAGTGTGCCAAGCAAATGAAATATTTTGCAGGAGTCTTTTTTATTTTATTTTTTTGTATCGATATGACGACGATAGGTATTGGCTTGTTGGCGCGATGCACGACAAACGAACGACAACGACCACCGCCGGTCAAAACGCATGCAACAAATCGTCGTAAACACATTTGAATGGCAGGTTCTTTTCTTGCATAGAGAATTCTGTTTACGGTGTCGAATAATGATTTGTATGTCGTTTTTTTTTTCATCATGTTACACTTTCTTTTTTCAATTTAAAAAGTTACGTCGCAGTTTATTTTGGTTTGGCGAGTGAATCAGTCCGACGAAAGAGACAAAAATGCGTTTTTTTTATAACTCTGCTCATATAACAAATATATTATAATTAACGTCATTCTCTGAAATCAATTTACGTGATTTCCGTCTCGCTGCGCGATTAAATTTTGCCAATCGAACAACAACAAAACACGAAAACAACAACTAAAATGAACTATTTTTACTCGCATCCTATCTCTCTTGCTTTGAATCTTCGCTGATTCACAGCCGTTAGAATGTAACGTAAACACAACGATGACATTGTATTTATACTGTTATTTAAAATTGAAATTGAATCAAATAAAAACCGTTCAAATTTTTCATTTACCTTTTCAACCATTTATTTGAGTTGTACACAAATTATGTAGTCAAATCTAAATTGATATTCAAATGGCTTACAATTGGTAGTACAAAATGTGAAAATTTATTAGGTATTGCTCAAATGTCTAATTCACGTGCGGTATTAAGTACAGTTCAGTTTTCGTATAAATTTGTTTATCAATAGATGGTCTAATGTATTAGATAAAATGTACGTATACCTTACAAGTTTGTTTCGTTTGATAACAAAAAAAAGTCATTGATTATGCTTATGGCTATGCAATATTATAAATAAATATCTAATATATACAAATTGACATGTCTACCTACTTTTTACGGTACAAATAACAATGTGCAAAATCGAAAAGCAATTTTTTTTGTTAATTTTAATTTTTATGGTCTTGTCGATAAAAACACATTTTCGACATTTTTTCGATCCAAAATAAACGATTTTCGGTGAAAAATTGAAATTAATTTCGAATAAAATTTTCCAAACTGGTGAAAAGATTGTTAAAAATTAGTCATGATTTAATAACTAAAAAGAATGAAACGGCAAATTGAAATTCACAGCATTTTGTTGCGGACGTGAATTAAAGTGTCAACCATTTGATTATTTCAATTAGTTTATAAACGTTAACCCATGGAAATCGCCAAATTGGTTTTGTTTTTTCGCGATCGACTTTATCGAGTATATACTGTGGCAATGTGCTCGGGTAGTTGATTTCATTATTTGGATCACAATTGCCGATAACGATATTATCATCAACATAATTTGACGAAAGTCCCTTGATACCATCACAATTGACCAATTCTAGTTTTTTGTTGAAACAAATTTTAATCTCCGACAAATATTGTTCGCCATAGTGTCGTTTCTCTCGTACACAATGAATGGATGGATTGGTTTTCAGTGAATCTTTGATAGCATTGTGCAAATCAATGGCATTATATTGTGACCCCGGATTTATATTCGCTTTCGATAGCAAACCACTCATCGTATACTGTTGCAACCATGACAATCCTTGGCCAAAGTACTTATTCTCCGAATTTAAATCATCGATAATTTTTGCACATGTACCGTGCTTCTCCCACTCGTGTTGCCACAATGAATCCACCGGCGTTCCTATCAAATACAATCAATATTTTCAATCACTCTTTCTGAGAATAATAATACAACCGTATAAAAGTTTACCTTTTTCAATGTTCGTCCAGTATTGTTTCATTTGATCAATAATCGGTTCTAATGAGTGAATGTCGAAGGGTGCCGATTTATTACAATAGAACGGACCAAGTGTCCCGAATTTCGTCGGCCAAACGCCGTGAATGATCCAAGTATCTTTTTGCGATGGCAGCACACATACGTGATCATTTCCTTTGCCCATCCATGTCATACAGTCCGTAATTGGCCATCTCTGCGTAAATATCAGTATATCAAAATCGTGCTCCGATGAATAACGAGACTCATTAATTGACTCTGACCTGTAAATGAGATTGTAGAATAAATATTGAGGAAAATAAAATACGAAACCAGATTGAAGTAGTTTCAATCTGAAAACAAATAAATGGGAAGAGGCCATTTCTTTCATATCTTATCACAAAATGTCATGTGTTTTTATCAATTATGAGTGAATATATTTTTTTTCTTTTATTTCAATCGAGTTCAACGCGCAAATTAAATACACGACACCATATCGTATACTCAGCAAGATTTTTTTGACACGAGACCTCTGCGTAAGCCCTTAAACCAAAAGACCTTAATATATATTGGAAAAAGCCGTTTCCATGAGGAATTCATTAAAAAGAATTATGACGGTTCTAATGCATTTGGGATGCAAGAAGTCACTTTTAAAGTCAAACTTTTAATATTTTAATTTGAAAAGGGAATTTTGACATCAAATTTCTAATGAAATTCGAGTGAACTAAATGAAACCTAACGATTATGATTCGGACGTGGTTTTTGTTTTACATAACCACTTTTACTTTAAATTTATGTCATTGACTCATTTTTTGCTGATTCATTCATTTATACTTCGTTTCTTCATAAACTCCGACAATATTGTATTTTCTATCGATTTATGATTAAAAATTATTTGAAAAATTGTTTTACTTACCCAGTACATGAATTTATACACAAACTACTAATTGATAAAATGAAGACACACAAAAATTCCCGTCTTTTCATCATTTTTCCTTATTTTCGTTCTGTGCTAATATATTATTTATGATACGCTTTTGCTTTGTCAGCACAATATCTACTGACTAATTCAACGGCACGAATTTTTCTGATGAACAGAAACTCATTATCAAAAATACACACAAATAAAGAAAAATATTTATGTAAAAAAAATCTGTCAAGTATGTTTTAGCAATAACAAGAATAAAGAAAACATAGTATAGAACTAGCGTCAATTTTTGTTTGAATGAAAATAAAAGAATAATCTAAATGTCAAAACAGTTTCTTCAGTTTTAATTTGACATCAGGTCACTCTATTCAAATGATTTAATGAAAGGCCCGGTCAGTTGGTAAAAACTAAATTGATAAATGAACAATTGACGCATTTCAATTTTCACAAAATAAATATTCATTCGACGCATTGGATTTTTTAAGTTTTAAATGAGAAATATTCAATCTAACTTCAAAATTACAAAACACACAGAAGAAGCTATATCAACAATATTGGCGCCATCTTCATGTGAAATTACTAATTTCAAATTAGTAACATGTTTGAACTTCGAATTCGTTCTATACATTCCGTTTTTGCAATCACAGTTATATTGAAATTGATTTTAGTTGTAAAAGCATAAACATTTCCTCCGAATTCAAATGGCAAATAATACTTGGATGATAATTGAACCCTTTGGATTTGACGTCGGAAAAAACCTAAGTTTAAAATTTTTGGGGAGGTATGGACACAAAAAAAATTAAGATACGAACATTGTGTCACTGTAAAGACCATTTTGATTCAGAGATTTTCACTATGTTAAGAAATGCGTTCAATAGAGGCCGATTATGCAAGTGCTGTGGCAATTATTGTTACAGTTCGAACAGAGATTCCAATTAAAATAGTTTCAAATGTATCTCTATTCCGAAGAAATTATTGACATAATCCATATGAAACCTTAACGCTATGCGCGTCAAATCGACGTTATTCGACGATATTCTATGTGTATATATGAAATTGTACATTATGTTTTACAGTTCCTGCGCCGTCTACTGTGATTGAGTCGTAATTCAATACACAAAACATAACAGGCAACGCGCGCACATAAACGGAGTTCGTGTGTTACTGTGTATCAAAGCATGGCAGTAGTGACAGTTGGGCAACGCAGCATTGAATAATGGCACAAATTTGTGCTCAACAATGGCACAAATTTGTACCAGCAACCAATAGGGTTGCTATAGTTCATCTGGCAACCGATGCGAGCGCGTCGGTCATTTTTTGTCACTGCCGTGCTTTGCTGTGTATAAGGCCGCATGCTTGCACAGCACTGTAAAACATAATGTACAATTCTATATACACATGGAATAGCGTCGAATAACGTCGATTTGACGCGCATAGCGTTGAGGTTTCATATGGGAAGTCCTCACCAGGGGTCCGAAGGGTCCAATTTGCTAGAGGTTTTCGAGCCAAATACACTGAGATAACCCCCTGGGAATGACAACATGAAAAGATAGAATAACACTAGATAGAATTGGATTTTTTGCTTACCGCTTCTCGATTTTTTTTCCAATTACCCCTCTTAAATTTCTACCTTTAGGACGTATGTATTGTTGATTCATTGAAAACTGTGGACAATTTTTCCCACGATGAAAAAGTAAAATTTGTATTTGATGTAGCTGTAATCGCGTTGGCATTTGTTCACCCGACTGCAGCTCTCATAACATTAAGACTAAGTGCATTCGAAATTAAATGTTCTTTCCGACTAATAAGCGTACCGAAATGATGCTCAAAGTGTAACACAGCTAGCGTCACGACTTTGACAGCTAAACGGTTTTCGCTTTGACAGCTAAACGTCATCCAGGATTTTTTGATTGGCTGATTGACTCCCTCCCCCTAAAACTTTTTCCCGCTTTTTCCATGCCCATGTATGGTGTAGTTATTCTTCTAACCTGATTAAATGGGACATTAGACGTTTTCACAGAGATTAAGTTAAAACAAACTCACATTTATTACATTGACTCGAAATTGATCGGATTTCTTCTCAAAATGTATGTTCATTGTTCAGCTTGTGAATCTTTTGTCGTTTTTACTTTTTACAGAAATTTTAAAGACTTCATCAACTTGAAAAATGAAAAAATCAACTGTTTATCTTTAAATGAATGTATTTTATTTTTAGAAAATTATGATTAGTACATTGTTTCAACCTGTTAACATAAAAATATAAAATTGATTGTATATATTCGTTGGCACTACAGACTACAAATTTCTTCTGATATTTATTAATGGCGGCTCTGTTCTCTGGTGTACTATTCTGCGCAGTTGATAGCATCTTTTTAGAAGGCTTGAAATTCACAATTTTATCTGCGTTTCCAGAAGTTGAACTTGGTCTATTCCTTTCTGGGTCCACAACGCTTGATCCGATAAATATAATTACGATAAATTGTACCAATAAATTCGTGACAAATGATTTAGCTATCATTTTGTTATTTTTTAAACTTTTAAACTCACAAACAATTTGTATTTAAAATCGTTGTTTTTAGTTACGCATTTAAAATTTAAATTCGATTTGAAAATATGAAAAATGTTTTATTAATCACGAAGGGCAATCGCACTTTGAATACTGCAGTTGTGCTGCTCTCTGACATTTATAAGTTCAACCCTATATAAAGACATTGCTTTCCTCTTCTTCTTCATTTGCAAGAAGCATGTGCTTTATAGCAGCTTAACTTTGAGAAACCAGGTGGCAGCACATCTGCGTGTTCGAAACCCAATACATTGCTTTAAATGGAGTGCGAGCAGAGCGTGATTAATCATAAGAAATTTACATAGTTCTACGTAAAATATGTTAGTATTGTCGACTTTACGAAAATACATCTTTTTTGCTCAAGAGAATTTGTTTGCTTGTTTGCAATACAGCACATCAAATGATGTTTGCAAAAATATTGAACAGGAAAGTATTGATCGAAAAAATTGAGGTCACAGAATGTGCGAATGAAAAACAGCAAATTATTTGATAACATCAAATAAAATTTATTCACAATTTAAAATATTACACTCGTTTTATCAACAAATGTTATCTCGTATTTTATTCGATTATTAGCGAAATATATGATTGAGCATAGTTAAAATATACTTTAGATGTTCGTCTTCAGATGCCGAAATAGTTGACGATGATTTCTTCGAACCCTTTTTCGGTGAATTATCGGCCGCGTTGGTTGATGGTTGATCGGTTCCCTTGACTGCAGAATTCTTTGCGAGATGATTTGAGACTTTTTGTATGGCAGTTTGTGAAATAATATTATCATCCACATGCAAAGATTTAGAAGACTTCTTTCCTTTTTCAACTGCAACGCACATGCTTATCAGCCAAATAGCCAAGAGGGTGACAAGTAATTTAGCCATACTTTCGAAACTTGACAAACAACTTGTACTCAGTAAATGTACTGTAAATTAAACGATAACCATTCTTGCTTTTATATGAATCTTACGACAAAAGAATTCATTTAAAAATTCCGTAAATGGAAAGAACCATACATGAGTTCAATAAAATTTATTTATCCAACCAGATGATCGAACGAAACATTGTTTCAATATTTCTGAAAATCGTTCAATAATTTGTATGGTGCGTGTGCAGTGTGCACATTCTTGTAACGATATTTTATAAGGTGCGTGTGCAAATTTCAGGGTTATTTCAGGGCCCATAACCTGCACACTTTGTGCTAGTTTGAGTTTTCATGTATTTTTGCGCAATTTTATAAAGCTTTTGAAAAATACGTGCATATTTTGTGCATTTTTCGACCAATTGACGTGCTTATTTTGACCCCACAATTCCTCATTGGGACGTACTAAAAGTCAAGATTGAAAGTTGTGCAAATGAGTGGAGACACTGAGAAGCCAGTGACAGTGCTCTCTAAGAACTCAAAACATTCGAGAGTTTGGAATTTTTTTAAAAATTGTCGATTTGGCAGAGGGGCATGTGATTTGAAATCATTAGTTCGAAAGGAGGTATTTATATGAAGGTTAAGCCAATTCTAGGTACTAAAAGTCAAGATTGAAAGTTGTGCAAATGAGTGGAGACACTGAGAAGCCAGTGAGAGTGCTCTCTAAGAACTCAA